TATGTCAACTTTTGATATCTGCGCATGCGGTTTATTAGAAATTATAACTCGCGGTTCGTAAAAAATTGATTCGAAATACCAAGTGTGTGGTATCAAATTATTCGTAAAAAAATGCTTTTTCCAAATGTGCTAATGAGCCACCCTCATTCCATTTGAAAATATTGAGATATTATTAAAAATACGATTTGAGCATTTTCTAACTGACCAGGACAAGACACTAGACGATCAAATCTATTTTTCCAAGGCTCCTTGATTAAGAATTAGTGTTTTTAACATAGCCATGGCACTCTAGATTGAATTTTAAAATACGATTATTTATTAAGCGAAAATGTCAAAACATGACATATTATGATAATGTCATTCTATTCAGAATGTCATTTTCTATCGAATAAAGTAAAAAAATACTAAGGGTGCCATCTAAAAATCAGTAGTTGTAGTCATTTCCGGTGAAACAGGAAGTGACCAAAAACAATTGAATATGTCAATAATAATAATAGCTCCCGTATACAGCGTTTAACGCCTTGGGAGTAGCAAGGTACAGCTTGTCATACTAGAGCCGTTCGGTATACAAGGAAGGTAATGTGGCTAGCACTACGCTTCAACCGCCTATTATTACCTCAGGATTGTGAATCCCAAGTACTCATTTAAGGCTGAGTCGACCTAGGTACCCAAACTATTTTTTATTTTAATAAAAATAGTCGGCTGATGCAATGCCGGGTGTGGGAATCGAACCCACTACCTTGAAATTGGTAGACGAGAGCCTGTACCTCTACGCCACCGGGCACCTGAATATGTCAATCAATATCCTAATTAATAATGTGATATATGCTAACATACCAAATCTCGTTTTTTTATCTGAAAAAATAAATAAGTTATAGGAGTGAGCCACTTTTGAGCCGCACCCGGTATATGATCTAGACATAATTGTACTTATTTTTGATTAATATCGTTTACTGAAAAAATAAATCTTAATAAATATTGTTTATTATATTTAAAATTTTTATGCTTGAATAATTGTTATTTTGAATTTATTTTAAAAGTGCTGGATAGAGAATACGGTTCTTTTGTTCAGATTCTCATTTAATAGGCTTATTATACATGGCGAATCTTAAATACATTTAGACATTTTTAAGGGTGGTATATTTCGTTCCCGAAACACGTCTCGATGATGTTAGTCGTGAAAAAAATTGAAAAATTTTGAATTTTACAAAAAAAATTTGGAAAATGTTTAAAGTGCAACATAGGCAGTGGATCAAATTTAGATGAACGAAAAAACAGAAAATAAACCAGATCCCAAAATTTAGACATTTTTTTTAATTTTCAAGACTCGGCTATCTCAGACTTATTTAAAAATGGCAATGAGAAAATATATTTCTTTTATCGAGATCTAAGAGCCCTGAAAATATTTTCACTTATTGAAGAGCCACTCTGTATATTCGCACAATGAATATAATCTTGTAAATAGGATCAATCCTGAAGGTTTCGGTGAAGGCACTATACACCGCCAATTATATTTCGATTTTTCGTTTACATATAAATTCGAATGGAACAACTACACGTAATTTTAACATCGCAAATTTGAAAGGGCCGTTTTTGGAAATGTCAGGAACAAATTTTCAGCTGACGCGGTTGCAATTAAAACCTGCTGACGCTTTTAGATTATGGCGAAATCAAATAATTTGCACATGGGTATACGGGATTCCGAAAATAATATAAATTCGAATGAATTATGTAGAACATAGGCAGAAATTTGAATGAATCCGTATTTAAATAACGAATTTAATTCCGGTAGGATTATATAGAGGAAAAATGTATTTTGAGGATTAATCCTGATACTTCGGTTCAAATAAATTAATGCTGATGATTTTGAATAATGTAACAAATATCCTATAAATTGATGAATATATTTCTCTTTGGCAACGGTTTATTCAGTCTAAACTTTCTAGAATACGACCGACGAGCATTGAAACATAAATGCTGACATTTATCTTTCATTACACAGTAAAGTAATCGTATACTCTAGTAGTCGTATAGTAAAATCCGCTATACCCCGAAATGTGTAGTTGTTTCACATATTGACGATAAACAGCGTAGCTCTTCAAGTGGTACATCGTTTGACTGTAAATCTCAGGCGCCCCTTGTAATGACCCAATTATTACATTGAAACACCGTAATTAATTGAATCATTTCAACAAAATAAAACACTAATTCCCTACAACACACCGAAACACATTTATTTTTGCAATGGATGCGCCTTTCGCTAATTATTTTAGTTTTAACCCTCAACTGGCGTCGTGAATTTTTGTAACGCTTATGGTGTGGGGGGGCCGATGGACCCCAATTTTTTTTCAGTTTAAAATACACGATGAAGAGATTTTATATAAAGCTTGTTATTTTAATACTGTACAATATATTCAAACTTGTGAACAAACAATTTCATTCATTTTCAACAAATTAATAATAACGGATACAACAATAAAGTAAAACGCATTTTTTTAGGAATTTTTGACAACAGAAATATAACTTGGCTAAGAAACACATAGAAATTAAAAACATATATATTTTATGATTTTACCGTATTATTAAAAGTACAAACAACTGAAATGTGAAGCTAAAATAATAAACATAAATTATTCTTAACAAAACTGCAAACCTTGAATGTACATAACTTTTTCAAATACAGTTCATGCTAATATATAGGATTTGCATTTGCCGCACATGGACCGTGCACATTTGATTCATGAGATTTTTGTTTTTTGTCATTTCTTCATTGGCATATGGTTGCCATATACCACATTTCTTTCTTTTTTGGTAATGATCATTCAATTTTCTCTCTTCTATAAGTAAGAGATTCAGAATCGGAGTTATGGTTGCTCTTCGGAGAAAAATCAATGCCTCGATGGTCTTCATCTCACTTAAGCCTCTTTAAGTTCATTAAACCACTCAATTAATGCTTCCTCAAAATTAGCGTCCCAGTGAGGCACACTTTTTAGACCCACCATCCTAATAATGTAACATTCTTGGCGTGGTGGTGCCACACAGACCCCAATGAAACTTTAGCCCCTGCTGGTAGGAACAATACTTGATAAAATGAAGTGCGCATTTAACAGTTGCATACTACTGGTACCCTAACTTAAAGGTAAATGGCGCGGCGAGGCCTAATTCTTAAAGGCAAACATTCTACAGAGGTTTAAATAGAGCTTGGGGTCCGCTGGACCCCACCACGCCAGTTGAGGGTTAATCATCTGCTGCTGATGATGATGATATTTTGCTGTTGTAACACCAAAGATTCCAACTCCCAATTGTAATCACAATAAATATATTCATTGACTAATATTTTAGTGAATGAATGTATTTATTCTTTACATCTTTACATTGTTTACATTATTATAAACTTTATGTGGAAATCGACATGTCTAAATATTTTTATTTTACAAGTTTTCAAACCTAACCTGAAACTGATGCTATACACAAAACCCGTTTCCAATTCGTACTAAAGTTGAAAAAGACGAGAATACACGTCGAAACGTCTGCAATTTTTTAATACAAGCGTTGATTGAAAAAATTTACGCAACCTAATGGGCAAATTCGTGACAAGGCTGATTTGATTTGCCCTTACGTCTCAAGTGCTGTACGGTGGAGCCTCTACTCGTTCTGTGGCCCAACCCATATCTCATAACTCACTTTCTCTAATTCGGCTAGCGAAGACACATCGAAGACGCTGTAGAGTTGAAAGAGACAGTGTTGTCATATTAAAATGTGTAATATCTGTAATACTTTTGACGAAAAATCTCAATGTATTGAAAATTTATTCTTGTTAAATATAGAATAAATAACAAACTTTAAAATTGTTTTATAGGTACTGAATATTTCGTATGATCGAAAAAAGTCGTTTAGTTGGTTTGGAAATGACGACTATTGACATCTACCAAGATATTTTACATATGAAATAACAGCGATCTTTATTTCCAAGCCAACTCTGAAGCCGTTCTTTGTTTAATCATATAATATTATATTAAATTATTTAATGATGGTAAATCCGTATTATTAACGTACTGTACAGGAAATCCGTAGATCTACGGACCAATCCGTAGTTCTGGCAACAGTATGGGTACAGTATCCTTTATCAGCGAGCAGCGGCGCAGAGCTAAACTAAATCTCGGACATGTAACGGTATCGCCAGCTACATCTCGGACATGTTTTGTGCCACGAAATCGCTCATAAGGTTGCGCATCTTCTTATTTCTTCAATCAACGATACAAGTTTGTTTATTTCCTGACCCTAAACCTGTGAAGGCCATTTCGTAAATATGTTCTTTGAAAGATGGTTATTATTAATTTTGATTAATGTCATATTTTCGGCTGTTGCTACAAAGTGTTGTTAAAGTATTACATTTTCCGATAACCATTATCACCCTTTCCGTAGCATTGAACTAAATAAATTTTCTGTTTCTTTAACATTCTAAACAGCAAGAAATGAGACGTTAATTAAAATTCTATAACAATCTATCAAAGAATGAAAACGAAATTATATTACCATAGAAACGCGTTTTGATTTTTAGGACTTGGGAAAAATTCAACCATATGTTGTTGTTTTTTTTTTAATTTTATCTAAAACGGTTTGGAAATTTGGAAAAATATAAACGGGATTAACCATTTTAGAACAAGGACAATTTTTATGAAGAATTAATTTTTCTCAAAATATCAATAATATAAAAGTTTTTTCTCTTGTAAAGAAAATCCGGGGACATACTGTAGGTGTTCTTTATACACTCATATTTTTCATAAACTTTTCACAGAATTTTCTTCTGACCGACTAATTGCCGCCATTTAAAAACACCACTTGAACGTCAAAATTTCTAAACCGTAGTCAACTGAGAAATTAGTCAACTCGTTTGATCAAATGCTATGATTTGTCGAGTTTAGACGGCCATACTACATACATACGAAATTAATTCAAGTGTACTATAATAATAAAATAATATAATACTATATTCTTACCTTGAATTGCTGGAAGCCACTGAATTATTAGATCTGGATCTTCGACTTTTCAAACTGTCGCCTCTATTAACCACCCCCTTTCCTGTGATGGAGAAATGCCTGAGACGGTAGTATTCCTCTTCAACGCCTGTGTTGGGCATGGAGGCCACCCTGGACCTCTGCTGAGGCAGGCATAGGTAATTTGGCCTGCCCGACGACCTGCCTGGTGTTTTGACAGATTGGGATCTGTTGTGGTGTGGACTACCATACCTGAAAATAATGATTTCGAATAATGATTGGATAACTAGCTGACCCGGCTTCGTACCGCCTAAGGGTACGCCCGTAGTGCACCGGGTTCCCGCTTCTCGCTTTATCACGGTAGACTAGCGGCAAAAAATAGATGAAAAATTATATGCGCGTAGCCATAATGCGCCAGTCAGTCAGCTTCAACCGGCTTAAACTGCTTTTACCCGCTTGTACCGAAATTAATTAAAGTAGTTCAATGAATTATAGTATGAAGTATTATAGTAGTTTCTTTTTGTGCCTTGTCAGCTTCATCCGCTCAACAGTTTTATCATCGCTACCCCTTTTAAAACCAATGCTCTTGACCCTGCTCGGCTCATTTCTAAACATACAATAAAGGTTTTGCTTTGGCACAATTCAAGCTGTTTACTTACAAAATTATTAAAAAGTAATCGATTTTAATCATAGCCATCTTGTGTACATCTATATACGATATTTTGAAAATTGCAGCATTGTTTTTCAACGGTTTTCAAGTTTGTTGCAAATATACTTTACCGTTTCTTTCTTCATGCGGAAATATTTGTATAATTTTTGATAGTGAGCAATGAGTTGTGAATATAACGTGTGATATTTACTAAATTCAAAGTGAGACTGATTAATTTCATGAACGCGAGTAGTACTTTTTGAATTAGTTTAATATAGATCCCCATAATAGATTCCCACCGAATAGCTCCATGATGCTAAATGACATTTCCCGCCCTGCAAGCGGTTGTTAATGGTCACTAACTGCTTCAATGGCGACTTTTCCTACAGCGAAATAAGCCAGCCACCGGAAAGCTGGAAGCCGGTGCATTATGGACGTACCTAAACAGTGAAATGAACTAAAGTAAGATTTTTTTACGGAAGGAATTTTTTTATTGACTCAGTGATCTCAAATGATTAAGACTAATCGATTTGACAGTTGTCATTATTTGTTCTGGATATTTTTGTTTACTTTTTGTTTCAAGTATTTCCGTATTGTACGTATTTCAATATCTTTCTAGATTTTATTTTATTTTCCGCTATTTTCAGTTTAATTTTTATTCTATGTCTAGTATGCCACTGATTTGCAGTGGTCATCAATTATTACAAATAAGTTATAAGCGTGCGTGACGTGAGCTGTCAATTGCGGAAGATGGCGGAATTCCAAACCAAAAAAAAATATTTACACATTAATTTTATGTATAATTTTTGTTTCCGGGAATTTTTCCGATATTTTAATAGTTTTTCTGCTATTAGGGGCGAATCCAACAAACTATTTATTAAACACTCTCTTGACCTATTCTTTTTTATGCATTTTTGTCAAACTATTCAAAGTCATTCGAATTTTCATACTACATTACATTCGAATCATCTCATTCAGATTCAGTCATTGGAACCAAAAGATCTAAAAAAAAAGTCATTGGAACCAAAAGATTAAAGAAAAAACGACAAAAATATAAAAAGAATATTATTAAAACACCATATAACATACTGAATAGATAAAATCCTCCAAGAGTATATAAGTATGTCATTAAATAGAAACAAGTTTATATTTTCGAAGTGTTTGAAGAGTGTTTTTAATTTCTAGGACTCTCTTAACATTTGCTTAAATTTTGCTCTCGTCAAAGACAAGAGGACATTCTGTTTGATCTATACATAATGATGAAAAATTCAACGCATTGCATTTTATTAATGTTTATCTCCGTAGAAAAATAACGTGTGAAAAAACCTCGGAAAAAACTAAAGTACTAAACAAAAATAATTTGCATTTTTTCTATTATGTAGTGCGATTTTTTCTAATAAGACACATAATTAAGAAACAATATACACGTTGTCATTATATTGGCAATAGAGACTACTTCTGGAATAACAGAATAAATTAAAGTATTTTTTTATATATTAGGCATATATGAGGAGGCCAATATCTGTGATGATTTATTATACAGGACGTAATTATTTTGGTGCCAAATAAAGGAGGTGACACCAGGGACAATTTTAATGATTTTGAATAGTTTATAATTTATTACCATGGTAAATTGTTCATCTCTTATTTCACTCACACTTCGATCTTGGTCTCGATCTTTTAAATAATCCTGTATTATAGAAAAAATGTCGTCGACTTACCTCAGAAATTACGATCATTGATAAATTTCATATGTAAAATATATGGCGAGTATCATCAATTTAAGGAAAATTGACTTCATTATTTCGGTGCAACTCAGTAATCATAAATGCAGTTTAAAAGAATATTGTTTTCTACGATCGTGCAAAAAGTACCATTTTTTACACTCTCTACTATATTAAATGTGAATTTTTTTACTAAAATAAATATTTTTTTATTAAAATAAATAAAAAATAAGTTATTTTTTGCACTAGTGCATAAAACACCTTGACATTATTAATGACGAGTTTAATTACAGAGAAAAAAACTGTAAATTTTTGTAAAAATTTGTCAAATCCAGAAAGGTAAACCAAGTACCAGTACTGGAAACTTCGCAGCAACAATCCGGAAAGAGTTTTAAGTGATTAACAAGAACACGAGACCTACACGAGCAGAAATTCAAAAGTCTAGTACTGGAAATGAAGTTTGTCCATCAATTATCTTAGTGAATTTTTCAAACTGCGACATTAAAATTAAAATGAATTAAAAAACAAACATATAAATAAGAATTCGATTGTAGAAGAAATGTTGTGTGCAACATATGCAAAAAGCATATTTGTTGCACTCAGCGTGACAGCAGCTCAGTCATGCGTCGTGCAACAAATATGTCCTTTTTGCACTAGTTACACAAATAACTATACTCCCTAGTAAATACTAAATTACATTTTGCATACTTTTGTCAATTTAGTTGTCTCCTAACTCTAGTTACAAACTATTCAGTTTAAATTTTCTTAGCTCAAAAATTGAATAATTAATTTTTTATATACAAACATAAAATTAAAAACCATCGAATAATAATTAAAAAAAAAACATTTACGAAACAATTAAAATTGCTATTTTTATTTAATTCTGCTTTTTATATTAACTCTATGGCACGGCACTGTCCTAGTGTCTTACTGGTAACAATTAGGCCTTTGGTGTTATTGGTCCTCTTATATTTTTTCGTCATTGGGGGATTCAACCGAAATTTGAAAAATGATAAAATGTAATCGAATGGTTTATGTGATGATCCTGTATATTAAATAAAACATTTTTATTTTTTATTAAACTGAATTATTACAACAGAAAACCTAATAGGAACCTAATAAAATTACAGTAAGTTGGAAGGCAATGAAACCAAAAAATCTACAGTATAAACTTTAAATAACTGGAAGCAGCGTAATACCTAAAGCGCCCTCTAGAGAGACAAAGTTTTCGAAGATCCGCTCATTCATACATAACGAATTTCCTTAGTTCGGAATACGAAAATGGAGAATGTTCATCAAACAAAGAAATTCGTTTCTAACTAATCCCATTCCGTTCTTTTATCATCCGCTATACCCCGAAATGTGTAGTTGTTTCACATATTGACGATAAACAGCGTAGCTCTTCAAGTGGTACATCGTTTGACTGTAAATCTCAGGCGCCCCTTGTAATGACCCAATTATTACATTGAAACACCGTAATTAATTGAATCATTTCAACAAAATAAAACACTAATTCCCTACTACACACCGAAACACATTTATTTTTGCAATGGACGCGCCTTTCGCTAATTATTTTAGTTTTAACCCTCAACTGGCGTCGTGAATTTTTGTAACGCTTATGGTGTGGTGGGGTCCGACGGACCCCAATTTTTTTTTTCAGTTTAAAATACACGATAAAGAGATTTTATATAAAGCTTGTTATTTTAACACTGTACAATATATTCAAACTTGTGAACAAACAATTTCATTCATTTTCAACAAATTAATAATAACGGACACAACAATAAAGTAAAACGCATTTTTTAGGAATTTTTGACAACAGAAATATAACTTGGCTAAGAAACACATAGAAATTAAAAACATATATATATTTTATTATTTTACCGTATTATTAAAAGTACAAACAACTGAAATGTGAAGCTAAAATAATAAACATAAATTATTTTCAACAAAACTGCAAACCTTGAATGTACATAACTTTTTCAAATACAGTTCATGCTAATATAGGATCTGCATTTGCCGCACATGGATCGTGCACATTTGATTCATGAGATTTTTCTTTTTTGTCATTTCTTCATTGGCATATGGTTGCCATATACCACATCTCTTTCTTTTTTGGTATTGATAATTCAATTTTCTCTCTTCTATAAGTAAGAGATTCAGAATCGGAGTTATGGTTGCTCTTCGGAGAAAAATCAATGTCTCGATGGTCTTCATCTCACTTAAGCCTCTTTAAGTTCATCAAACCACTCAATTAATGCTTCCTCAAAATTAGCGTCCCAGTGAGGCACACTTTTTAGACCCACCATCCTAATAATGTAACATTCTTGGCATGGTGGTGCCACACAGACCCCAATGAAACTTTAGCCCTTGCTGGTAGGAACAATACTTGATAAAATGAAGTGCGCATTTAACAGTTGCATACTACTGGTATCCTAACTTAAAGGTAAATGGCGCGGCGAGGCCTAATTCTTAAAGGCAAACATTTTACAGAGGTTTAAAACGAGCTTGGGGTCCGCTGGACCCCACCACGCCAGTTGAGGGTTAATCATCTGCTGCTGATGATGATGATATTTTGCTGTTGTAACACCAAAGATTCCAACTCCCAATTGTAATCACAATAAATATATTCATTGACTAATATTTTAGTGAATGAATGTATTTATCGTTTACATCTTTACATTGTTTACATTATTATAAACTTTATGTGGAAATCGACATGTCTAAATATTTTTATTTTACAAGTTTTCAAACCTAACCTGAAACTAATGCTATACACAAAACCCGTTTCCAATTCGTACAAAAGTTGAAAAAGACGAGAATACACGTCGAAACGTCTGCAATTTTTTAATACAAGCGTTGATTGAAAAAATTTACGC